GAGCCAAATAAACAGTTTTTGATTGCATAAGTCTCTGGTGGTTGCTAAAATGTGTGTGCCATTCAAAGCAGCGCTGCAGGAAAAACATTCAGAAACCGTGGACGTTGATCAAAGAGATCTGAACTTTTGAAAGGACTGTTAAAGTTTCCTTGTGTTTCTGAACTGGTACCAGCATCCTTTTAATGACTGAATGATTGCCTTTTAGCTGGGAATTGTAGTGCTGAGTGCACTCAGAATAAAACTGCAGTCTTTTAATAGAAATTAAACCCCTTGTCTTTTACTTGGCTCATTATCTCTAAAAGTTATAAAACCGTGTCTCGTCTCTGAAGTTTCTAAAAGGACAAACGTCTTAGAGTTTTTCGACTCCCTTTCCCGTTCCTTCATTTTTCCTTGCAGCTTCTCTCGGAAACAAACCGGCTATTTTGAGCAAAGTGCCTCCGAGTATCAGGCGCCTCAATCAGCAGTTAATTGCCGTATTTTTAATCATCAAGAGCTCGCTTTGGCATCAGTGATTAAATCAATGAAATGAGAAGACTTGATCAAACTGTTGAAGCCTGGAGATGTTTTTCTTCTATTGCTGGAGCATTTCTCCCAACTGTGCTGAAGTGACGGAGCACACAGAGCTACACTTATTAACTCTTTGTTATTAAGGCTGAAGCTAAGACTGACACCTCTTTCATATGTGTTCATACGAGCGCCCATCTCCTGTAGACGGCTCCAAAAGTGGGTAAATCCCCAAAGAGTCCCGTATTTAAATATCCAAACTTACAGCAGAAACCTGTTTACAGCCTGCTACCAAAACCTGTTTGGGTCTTTATGGATGGGGTGAAACATTTCCCAACGCAGTCCCAACAACAGCATCGTCTTTATTTGGTTCGGCTAAAAGAGGAACATTATTTTCACATAATGTGAGTAAGAATAAGTCATTTAGACTTCAGAGTTTGGGCCATTTTAAAACTCCAGTTTTGCTTCACAATGTTAACTTGATGTTTTCTTCTGTAATGTCGTAGAGGTCATCTGTGCAATGCTTTTCTCCTTCCCTTCCATGCCGTTTATTAGACTTTTAACCCAGCGGAGCAGTTTGAAATGCCAAATTGGAGCGTAGGAAGCTTTCTTCCCCAACCTGCTTCCACAAAGGAATTTTTCCCTGTTATTCTCTTCAAACACAGGTTTGATCTTGAAAATTAAAGAGGAATATCTACCAGGAGTAATTTCAGGAGGGTTTTCTGTTCCCACATCTAGCCTTATCTCATTGAGCATAACACCCACGACCAAAAACAAATTGGTTTTCTACCAAAGCATAAAACAAGCAGGTCACATGCTCACGGAGAGCACATAATAACAATGATAATAATAATAATAATAATAATAATGAAAACCTAAGTGTTCAGCAACGTAAACAAGCAGAATGTTTGAATGTTTTATTCAAATGAAAAATTAATTAGTCTCAGTTCTGAACGAGGGTTCACTCCAAAAACAGTGTAGGAGGCGAAACGCTGATCTCATTACAGCCATGTGTGTCAGTAATAAGTGAAGCCCTACATTTAAAGCTTGACTTTAACACTCCTAATAAACAGACAGGTATCCGTTTGTGTTTACCCTGTCCTCAGAACTTGCATGTTAAGCTCCGATAGCAACATTAAAAACACGGCATACACTCCCAACCACCTCAGGAAGATTCAAACTGATTACACAAAAAAACTGAGCTGAAAGTTCTTCTACAATAAAATGACTAGTTTGATATAATTGGATGAACTTTATTCACTTTCTACTGAAAACTGAAATAAGATCAATACATTTAGGGCTTTATGATAAATATGTAGCTGCAACCTGGGCCCAAATTCTGCTGCAGGTCCTGAAGTCATACAATCACTGAGAGTTAAAAACTGTCTAAATTCTTTCATCTTTAATAAAATGATCATTGTTGCTGCTTTATCAGGTGTAACAATTAAGTTTAACAGCCAGGCATCCATGAAAGCCAAATTTAGGAAATTTAATAGAGTTAAAAGTTAGCAGGAAGTTAGCTCGCTAGTTTCCATCTGAATATAATATAGCATGTTCTGACGGAGAGATTTCCAAAACAAATTCAAACGTACAGCTCTGTTATCACTTCCAACATAAAT